TGACCACCTGACCCCGCAGGGACGAAACTTTTCATTTAAATTACATTACTTTAATTTGCTCATAATACGTTAAATACGTATTATGTTATTATTGTTAGACAAATACTTTTTTCTTTAATAAATAATATTTTTCTTTAATGGTTATAAGAAATTATTTCCGCAAAAATTTATCTATATATATATATATAACTTTATTTTATATTTGTTTGCGATTTTGCAAGCGATTTTAGCCAAGTACGCATGTATGTATGCATATTGCTATAGTAAGGTATACATGGTGAACAATATATTGTATACTCCATTTGCTCTAGAATAAATTTAAGGTGTAAAACTGTTATGAATATTGTCAAGAGTGAAAAGATGTTTTTGAGGTTTTTAAATGTCAATAGGAATTATACTATAAGAAATATCATACTTTGTCCAAAAACAAAAAACTGGGAGAAATTCTGGATTTACTGAAACCATTGAATTTACTGTCCCAACTTATATGCGACGGGTCTCGTATACATATATTTATGTATACATATACAGGGTGCACGGCACGGCACGTGCAGGTTGGTTAAGCCATTAAACTGAAGAAAAGTTATGTAATTACAAGTCTCCATAATTAAAACAAAAATCTATTAAAAACCAAAATTTGTTACAACTTTGTTATTCCTGAGAATTAAAAAAAGTAAGTTTCGCGTTTTCTCCATTAAAAATTTAAAATTTTTTTTGTCTATTTGATTTTGAGTTATCACCACCATCTTTGGTTTTGCTATGGCTGCCATAATACAATTTTACATAGTTGGATAGTAAATAAATCGATTTATTAAACTATATATTATATACATATATATAGTATATAAGTTTATGGCGCACCATCGTCAATTTAAAAACAAAAGATGGTGAAAGTAACGAATAAATTGGATGAAAATGTAGATAAATGTGTATGTTAACAAGTCAAACTTACTTTTTTTTAATTCCCAGGAATAACAAAGCTATAAAGATTTTTGGTTTAAAAGGCTCTTAGTTTTTTTCAATTGAACTTTTAAAAGTTTTGAGAACGGCTGCCTTTTTTTTCAATTTATAAATTTCATACGCATAATAAAAAAAATGACGAGACTTATGATTCGATACTTTACGACACGTCACTTTTATCTTTAACGATATCGTAATGACGAGTCGTCATGATTAAAAAAAATTGTTTTATCTTTGTTTCTCAGAATTGAATGAAATAATTGCATTTTATATATAATTCTGATAATAAACTCGCTGCAATATAAATTTAGTTCAATAATTAAAATAAATTGACGACGTCATACGATTAGGATGACGATAGATAGAATTATTTCAAGTGACAATCGTCATAACAAGTAGTTTAAGCTGCTAAATCAAAAAAATATACATAAAAGCAGCATACAAGTATAATTTCTATACATTTTAATTTAATAGTAAACAGAACTCGCAAAAATAAGAAGAAAACTTTATATGAACTTGCTTTAAAGATTAATTTTGAAGAAAAAAATTAAATTCGTTTCCGTTTTATTTTTAATCTATAAATAATAATAAATTTATAGCATACCCAAATTTTATTTTTAAATATCTATTTGGGATGTTCCAGCGCCGCCTTTGGATTTAATTTAATTTACATTAAAGTAAGCCCTTTGCCCACTACTAAAAACCTAAAAGGTTTTTATGAAATTCGCCCAAAAAATAAATATTTTTTTAAATAACTTTACCACCCTGTCTCTAGAAAACGAAGCTTTAAAACATACATACTTTTCTTCTGATATTTTCGATTTCTATAGATCACTAAATTTTCCCAATTAAAATCTGCGACACCCTGTATACATGTAGGTATTGTACTTATAGGATACTTGTTGGTAGTGTGCAAATTTGTATTATTACTATTATATTGACTGTTAATATTTTAGCCCATAATTTTATTTCACCCAAGGCCGGAAGTATGTTGAAGCTGTGATATACGATAAGAGGGTCGTCGCTATTGTTACTAGCGATGCAACGTGTTTTAAAAGACGTTGCATCGCTATTAACGATAGCGACGCCGCTTTTTTCGTTTATCACAGCTCCAACATATTTTAAATATTCCCCTGCACTTTCGCTCGCGCGTGCGCACTAGCTATGTCACGGAGCGATATCCCATTGAGTGCGTATTGTGCTTGAATGTCACGACTTGATATCCCATTGATTGTGTATTGTGGAAACATATGAATGCGCCAGTGATATCACGATGTCACGACGGGATTTCGGAGTGATTTCAATACGCAATCACAAATGTTTACTGGGCAGCGATGGCATAAAAATCACGACATGATTTTCATTCCTCACGCAGTGACATCCGGTGATGTCCGTATGAATAAAATTTGTGAAAATCACGACGTGACGTTCGAATGATTTTCATTTATCACGCGGTGATATCAGTATGAATAAAATTTGTGAAAACATTGAAATATCTTTTTTAATTGAACCCGGACAACATTCGTGATATTCAAACAACGTTTTATAAATTATAACGGTGTAATGTTGTTTGGTTTTACCCAGTAAACATTTGTGATATCACGAAAAAGTCAAGACGTGACATGTCACAACTTGATATCCAATTGCTGGCACAGTGATTAAGTTTGTCGTTTTATGTCAGCAGTGACACGCGCGTGATCTTTTTATGTCACGACGTGACCCCGCAGGGACGAAACTTTTCATTTAAATGACATTACTTTAATTTGGTAATAAAACGTTAATTACGTACCTATTATGTTATTATTGTTAGACACGTTATAGGTTAATGCTTTTAAACAATTATTTCCCCAAAAATATATAACTTCACTTTATATTTGTTTGCGATTTTGAAATCGAAGAAAAAAATTAAATTCGTTTCCGTTTTATTTTTAATCTATAAATAATAATAAACTTAAAAAAAGCAGTATATAGGTACTATAATCTAATATAATATATGATATCATAATCAAAAATTTTATTTTAAATAACTATTTGGGATGTTTCAGCGCCGCCTCTGGATTAACTAAATTTAATTTACATTAAATTAAGCCCTTTGCCTACTACTAAAAACCTAAAAGGTTTTATCAAATTCGCCCAAAAAATAAATATTTTTTTTAATAACTTTACCACCCTGCCTCTCGAAAACGAAGCTTTAAAACATAAATACTTTTCTTCTGATATTTTCGATTTCTATAGATCACTAATTTTTCCCAATTAAAATCTGCGACACCCTGAATACATGTAGGTATTATACTTATAGGATACTTGATGCACCCTGTAAAAAGGTAGTGTGCAAAACTTGTCTTATTATTATTTTATTTAAATAAATGTTGACTGTTAATATTTTAGCCCATAATTTTATTTCACCCAAGGCCGCAAGTTTGTTGAAGCTGTGATATACGATAAGAGGGTCGTCGCTATTGTTACTAGCGATGCAACGTGTTTTAAAAGACGTTGCATCGCAATTAACGATAGCGACGACGCTTTTTTCGTTTATCAGAGCTCCAACATGTTTTAAATATTCCCCTGCACTTTCGCTCGCGCATGCGCGCTAGCAATGTCACGGAGTGATATCCCATTGAGTGCGTATTGCGCTTGAATGTCACGACTTGATATCCCATTGATTGTGCATTGTGGAAACATATGAATGCGTCAGTGATATCACGATGTCAAGACGAGATTTCGGAGTGATTTCAATACGCAATCACAAATGTTTACTGGGTAAATTCGCAGTTCGCAGGTCTCATAGGCATGCGAAAATTTTGCAAATATCACACCGTGAGCTCTACATGATATCACTGTGATGAAGCATGTGTATGCACTCAGGATATCACAGCGTGATAAAAAAATCACGGTTGATAAAAACTAAATTATTAAAATTCTACTAATCTGATTCTGAACAGTCCCATGATATTGCTCAGTGTTTAGTAATTTAAATAATTACTTTGATGTTGCTTCATAATTTAAAATTTCTGTTGATGAAGACATTTTATTTGAGGAGTTTGTCCAACTACCTACTTTTGTTAAAATTTTGAACACTGATGATGTCGATATAATGTGGACTCATTTTTTAAAAGAGCATCCAACTGCAATAAATTTTTTTATACCGAAAGAATTTTTAGTTTGATGAGAACAGTTTGAAAAAAAATGGGTTAAGCTTAAACACATTAATGTTATTAAGCTTTACCCTTTTTTTTCTAATTAGAAGCTGAACTGATGATCAAAACTAATAATAAAAAGACATGTAAAGAATTTGTTAATTTTTTAAAAAGCAATGAAAAGAAATTCTTGAAAAAGTTCCATCATGTGAAAAATGCATTTAAATAATATTTTTTTATAATTTTAAAATTAAAAAATTATATATCTTTTGAATTTTTTTTCGAATCAATTTCGAAATTTTCGAAACTAAAACATTTTTTTTAATAGAGATTTGCGTGTACCGCTTTTTCATTTGCAAAATCTGGCAACCTTGCCTTACACGCCTAAAAGAACTCGCCCAAAGAAACAGAATCTAACATCAAAAACATAGAAACAATGTGCATCAAACTGGAAGATGAACAAAGAAAAAGCAAGAACCCAAGCCTCACCTTGAGGGAAAAATTAAAGGAATAGCCTTTCCGCTTTTTATTTATGTTCAAATATATGAGTATTATGATAAAATTTGTTAATTTTTTTTATATAACATATAACAATTATATATACATTTTATTTTATTTATATAAGTAGGTACATAATGTTAATTTTTTTATATATACCAAAAAGTCAATTTGATCATCCAATTCGCTAATTTTGATCACACAACCATAGAGTAGGCAACCCAGATCACAAACATGTTTTGGTGTTTTTATCATGTGACAGGTGGTTTATGGGGCAATTTTAAATATTAACAAAACAAAAAATACCAAATTCAGGACAAGACCAATTTTATAGGACATTTAGGACAGAATGCTAAATTTTAGGACATTTGAGAGCCCTGGAAATCCAAAATCAATTTAACTCACCTCCTTATCATATTTGGCCCTTATCTGCTTATTTCTAGCCCACTGCCCGGTCCCTTTGTGCCTCAAACTAAACCGTTCCTCGGCACGAGCCCTCTCGATATCTTCCAATTTTTTCAAAGCTTCTTCGGGGTTCGTTTTTTGCAGCAACTCAAACTCCTTCAACTGCTGCTTAATTTTTTCTCTGCGCTGAATTCTGTGATACTTTTTGCTCTTTATTTTGTTCTGCCTGCGAGCTTTCGCTTCTTTGTATCTTTGATGAGCACGGAGTTTTGCTGATTCCTTGCGTTTTTCAACCAACTCTTCCATTGATAACGGGAATGATTCAGACGTGGGTTCCACATTGTACACCTCGACTTTCTCGATTTGCTCCAACTTTTTCTGCAGGTCAGATTTAACTCGCCAGTTACTTGGAATAGCAGCACTGTTTTCAATCGTTAAAGAATCTGTTTCGGCCAATGGAAAAGATATATGCGAGGCTGCTCTATTTGAGGTTATAAAAGCCTCCCATCTATCAAACTCCAACCTATTTTTCTCATATGCAACAGTTCTACGTATCTTATCTGCCTGAGGTTTTTCCAAAGGTTTTGGTAGCGTTGTCGCTTTTTTACTTGTACGCGTAACATTTTTACCAATTTCCGCAAGCTTCCTATTCTTTAAAACCTTCGTTAATTCATTTATATGCACCGCACCTTTATTCCCAGTGACTGATTTCACCAAATCAAACTCTGATATTTTTAACGTAGGTTCTGTACGCGACGGTTTCTTCAAATTCTGTATTTTGTTGAGGTTCAGAACGTCCTCCACGATTTTCTCGTGCTTGGAGTCGTCGATATCATCTTCATAGTCGTAATTATCGCTGTCACTCATTTTCAGATTTGTAAACACATGTAAATTTGAGGTTAAGTAAGCGAGTGAGGTTAGGTGTCAAACGTCAAAATGAGTGGTACAGATGAACTACTTTTTCTTGTTTATTTAAATTTATAATAAAGCAAAATTTAGATAAATATTGCAAAAATACGTCAACAAATTAAAATTAATTTAAAAAGAAATTAAAGCAAATTGCAAGTAAAATATTGTATCACAATTCAATTATTTGACAGTGGCGCTGCGGTCAGTTCTTCGAAATGTCGCTGTCATATAAACGTCAGTTGTAAAGAGAAAATGATCGCTTAAAGTGCAAAAACGACAGTGACTTTTCGCGATAAAGTGATTTTTTACGACAGCATGTAAGCATGGGCATACGAAAAGATGTCAAAAAAAGTCGTGGGCAAAATAAAAATCAGATCGACGTGTTCGCAGATTTTGAAAGAAAATTTGGACAGGATAAGTGTGCTGTTTTCCGCCTGCTTAGATGAAAACGGTGCCAAAGAAGGCTTAACTTTTTACGATGTCCTTTTGTTGGTTCCGGGGGAGGCTGACCGAACTTTGAGTGGCGATTTTTTGAACAGACTACAGGTGAGTGCATTTTATGTAACAAGCCCACTTCTTTTGAAATGTGGGACGGAATTTTTCGCACTTTATAAACAAACCAAACGGATCTGACCTGCGAAATTGAGGACACAACTTTTACTTTTGTTTATTTTAAGCACGATTGCAAAATCTAACTTTATGCATATCAGGCTTAGGTTGGCATTGGCATTGCAATTTTAAAGAAAACTTTTATTATGCCCTACGACTTGAAAATAGAGTACCTACCTACTAATTCAAAGTGAGTGGCATTTTAACATCAAATTTTAGGAAATGTCAAAAGAAAAATATAATATAATTTTTATCATAAACAAATAATAATAATAATAATGTTTTAATTAAAAGTGAGTGGATCGAGGAGTGGATTTTAACTTCAAATTTACGAGAAGTTAATTAACCCAGGGAACACCCACTGTTGCCACGTTTCTCCGCGTCATCTGTCGAACAAAACTATTAAAACCATAACTCAACAACACAACCCAACCGACCCCGCCCCATTGGGCCCCCCGCCCCATTGAGCAAAAAACCCTACTAAAATAGGCAAATTTATGTTACGATAAAAATAAAACACTTTTTAACAAAGGAACAACAAATTTATGAAATAAAAAAAGTTCGACAACTTCTAGTAGATTTTATGTTACGATAAAACTAAAACAAACCAACCAACCCAACCCAACCGAACACTGTTTAACAAAGAAACAACAAATTTATGAAATAAAAAAAGTTCGACAGCTTCTTAGTATCGAACCCGGGACCTCTCGCATGCCAAGCGACCGCCCTACCATCTGAGCTATCTAGCTGATGTCAAATGTTAAACGCTCGGGGAACAAAAACGGATTATAATTATGACGTAACAAATTTACAAAGTACAGGCATCATAGATAATAATAATAATGACATTTCGTATAAGAAATTAGGTTAAAGATTTGTTTACGTTTAATAGTTTTGTTTGACAGATGACGCGGAGAAACGTGGCAACAGTGGGTGTTCCCTGGGTTAATTAGCTTCTCGTTTCAAATGTCAAAGGAAAAATATAATATAATTTTTATCATAAACAAATAATGTTTTAAAATAATTATAATTTTCAGGCAAAATTGATATTATTGGGTTGAATAGCTTGAGTTAGATAATTAAACATTATCAATAAAAAATGCTGACCAGCATAATACCTACAAGTATTATAATAGTAAACTTTGAATTTGGGAGAAAGTTTTTTTAAAAGAAAATAAATGAAAACAGTCTCTGTACTGTTGAAATTTCAATTAATAAGAAAATAATAATTGTTTCTCATTAAAAATACATTGAAGGGGGCATATTTTAATTACATTAGATCAAAAAGGTATTCTTGCTTTGTTTTTGAGTTATAAGGTTTTAAAATTGTTTATTTTTATTATCTTAATATTTCATAATCTTCTCTGGACACTCAATAATAAAATGGCGTTTATAAAACTTAATACGTAATAGGTATCCTTTTTTTCAATTTTTCTACATCTGTCAAACGTTTTTAACCTTACTTTTCCCAATGGGGTTGGGACGAGTCAAAAATCAGTGTAAAATTACTTCTATCACTATTATATTATATAATAGAGATTAATCACTGAAAACAACCATACCGTTAAAAAAAACGATTTTTGTTGTCATTTTTTTAAAGCCCATGAAAATGGATTAATTGTCTCGGTGTTATAATATAAATGGAATATTGATAATAGGAGTGCCAAGATTACGATTGAAGTACTATGCTCCACACCTCAAAGTCCCACCACGTGACCACGTACGGAACGCAGTCTTTTGAAAATTTGGCATTTAAGGCTTTTTAGGTTATGTATCTGTCAGTATAGTCAACGAAAGAAATAATATTATGTTTAGGGGTTAAAAATGTATAAATCTTGGATGGTTTAAGAATTTAAGAATATAAATACTGCATTTAATGAAATTCTAAAGTGTATGGTGCCAAATAAGTAATATTTTTGTGAATTTGGTCCAAATATCCAGTTTCCCCCCATAAAATAATTTTAACTAAACAGCATTTATTTAAAAAAATCTAGCTTCTCTATTATGGAATAAGAATATCTGTTTTAAAGGTAGGTTAATATAAAGGGTTTTCCAATAAGAGCGGGTCGATGTTAAAATTAAATAAAACAAGCTGTGTGTGAGGAATCAACAAAATTATTGTTAGTCCTATGTTAGGCCTATGTATGCCATTATTTATGGAATATGACATCGTTCAAATGTCCTCCGCGGCTTCTCACGGTGGCACGAATTCGAGTGGTCCAATTTTCAATGAGTCTGCCGCATAGATCCGGCTGAATTTCAGCGATTGTCTGGGTTATGTTAGCTTTAAGCGCATCGGTCGATTGCGGCTTATTGGCATAGACCTGTGACTTTAGAAAACCCCACAAAAAGAAGTCCAGCGGAGTTAAATCGCACGATCTTGGGGGCCAATTCACGTCATCTCTGCGGGAGATAACCATACCATCAAACCGTTCACGCAGAAGGTTCATAGTGGCGTCCGCTGTGTGGCACGTAGCGCCGTCCTGCTGGAACCACTTGTCGTTTACGTCCATAGCGGGTGCAGGCCCAAGTCCTTATGCAATATTCGCCAAGTTGAAGTCTGCGAAAGGCCAAGTTCTTGTGCACGGCGAGGAATTGACTGCCTCGGGTTCTCCTGCACACTTTCACGAACAACGGCGATGTTCTCGTCCGATCTGACGTTTCTTTGACGTAAGGGTGTTGGCTGATTGTTTAATGAACCGGTGGTTTCGAGTTTATTCACAAAACGTTGGAGAGGCGACTTTGAAGGGCCACCGCGTCTGCCGTAAAATGGGCGCAATGCGCGCAAAGTTTTCACTAACGAACACTTATTTTGATAATAAAGTTTTATCATTTGGACGTGCTGCTCAATCGTGTAACTTGCCATGGTGATTTGGCATTAGTGACTAAATAATTAACAACGGGTTAAACAAATGTCGCCAAAATAAAATGGCCGACATAGCCCGCCAACTTCGACCCGCCCCAATTGGAAAACCCTTTATTATAACAAAAATATCATCTAATTTTGAGGTTAGAAAAATTTATTTTGACCAAAATAAATAAGTATTTTGGATTATTTAAAAGACTTTATAATATGGTATTTAAAAATGTGGTAGTTTTTCTTATCCAGCTTAAAGTGTACCTACATACAGTTTTGTCTATACAAATAGTTAAAAAGCTTTGACTGAACTTGATCTACATCGAAAAATCATTATAACTTTATAGTATATTATGTATCAAGTTTTATAAACGCCATTTTAGTTACGAGTTTAATTAAGCACGAGCGAAGCTTGCGAGCGAGTGTTTAATAAAAAACGAGTGTCTAGAGAAGTTTATAAACGAGTTGCATACTATACTTTATCTACGAGGAACACAAAACAGAATTTAAAGCCAATTTTATTTGTTAAAATTTTGACATCTGTCAACTGTCACCCGAATTTAACCTCACTCACTCACTCCCAATTTATAATAAAGCTTACTTCAGCCCGTGACGTAAAATGTCGAAAAGCCACTGTTGTTAACTTCAGCCCGTCAATAAAACGCCATAAAGTCACTGTTCGTCAATGTAGGAGTAGATAAATTTTTTTTAATAAATCTCATGTCATGGGGGGATTAAATATTTTCACATTGCAAGTTTCTCTAAAAATTGTTTGTTTTCTTATAATCTAACTTAAAGTAGGTATGCCGAGAGGTATGCACAAGTTTTGTCATTAGAAGTATAAAAGCTTCAATTTAATTTGAACCATATTCAACAATTATTTAGTATACCTATATTTATTTATGACCATATTAACACACTCTTCTAAATAATCCACTTATTTATTTTTCTAACCTTTAAATACAAAATTACATTCTCGTCCCAGCCGTCGAGTGAAGAAGTCGACGCAGCAGAGGCAGAGTAAACGTAAAACGTATAACGATAAAACCATAACCAACAAATAAACCTTCATAGTGCAAACTACTATAGTGTAAAAAAAAATACTGTGAGTACAGACTACAATACGGTCAATAATTAGTTGACGGCCAAGTGAAAAGGAGGAGTGAAGTGACAGGTGCAGGCGAACATAGTGAAACGGTCAAAAGTTTTAAGCGTTGAGTGACAAGAAAGTGTCGAGTGACAAGTGTCAGTGCCTGAGCGGTCGCACCATCGGTCAACAGGTCGATCTCCACAGGCCAAACAAAAGAGGACATACAAGGGAGGAACAGGCCACCTGCAAATATTTGCTAAGTATTTCCAATTCTTCCGCATGACCTAACACATAATTTGCAAATTGAACTAAACAAGGCACATTGCCTAACTAAAAAAAACAATAATCATCGGCATTAAATAAATAAAAGTCAATTTTCCAAGAAAAACCAAACAGCCGATCGCGGACACGCACCAAAGTTGAACAGGGCAACATAACAATTCAAGTAAAATAAACCGAGACCAAATAAATTTGACACTTAAGACATAAACAACATAAACTAAGAAAAATAAACAAAGTTAAAAAAAGCACTATAATCAAACTCCATGGAATTTGTAAACACTCTTGACTTCATAGTAAAAGTAAAAAAAATACCCCCCACTGGGAACTGCCTTATCGCAGCGATTGCACATCAGCTGTTTAACACGGTGATAGGTTCGTTACGCGAAACTGAAACAACAGCAGAGACTAGACAAATATTAAACAACCACTTACGTAATAACATAGGAACGTACAGACCCTACATCGAGGACGCAATAAATGAACTAAGCAGTCGTTATGAACACATAAGTGACAAAACAGGACAAATTAATGCGTACCTAAACGACCACGGTAATTACGGCTTCTGGGCCGGACTGGAAACAATACTAGCCGCCTCAGACGTATACAACGCAACAACATACTACAAGCCACCCTAGACCTTACAGACAAAAAAGTCGGGAGACCATGCTTCACATTTCATGACACGTTAGCACAAAACATGCACTTCTC